CACTCACCAGCCCATGGCCCTTTGCCCAATGGGGCCTGGATATTGTCGGACCATTAGCGCGAGGCACAAGGAACAGATGATTCTTCGTTGTTGCAACTGACTATTTTACTAAGTGGGTCAAAGTTGAGGCATTGACAAGTATCAAAGAAGCGGATACAAAGCGGTTTGTCATGAGAAACGTGGTGATGCGTTTCGGCATCCCGCGAGTATTGATTGCGGATAATGGAACACAGTTCGATGGTAAGATCTTCAGAAAGTTTTGTGCCGACCTCAGAATCGAGAATCGAGTATAGGAACTCTTCTCCAGGGTACCCGCAGAGTAATGGACAGGCAAAAGCATCAAACAAAACCATCATCAACGGAGTAAAGAAGCAGCTTGAACATGCAAAACGCAAATGGATTGAAGAGTTACCTCACGTATTATGGGCCTACCGAACCACAGCACGGCGTTCAACGGGGGAAACACCTTATTCCCTAACTTATGGAATGGAGGCCATCATCCCACTTGAAGTAGGTTTCCCAACCTTTCGGTCTGAATTATTTGAAAGCTCCAGTAACGAGAAAGCTATTGCACAAGCACTGGATATGGCAGAGGGCCGAAGAGAAGCAGCACTGATCAGACTTGAAGCGTATCAGCAGTAGCTCATCAGAAGTTTCAATCAAAAAGTTTTCCCAAGGCAATTTACACTTGGAGAACTAGTTTTGAGGAAAGTTACAGATCATAAACAGGTGCCTGGCGAGGGCAAACTTGGGCCTAACTGGGAAGGTCCCTACAAAGTCATAATCGTTGTTGGAAACAAAGCTTACTACCTAGAGGATCTGAATGGCAGAGTTATACCTCGGCCCTGGAACGTAGCAAATCTCAAGAAATACTATCAGTAGAATTATCCCCCAACTTCTCTATCAGAATGTAAAGGCATTATCTGTTGACCAATGCAAATACTTCCCCAATTTTCTCAAATTTATCAAATTCTTGTAATTAGCTTTGATGTTTATCAAACGGAATTAGCTTTGGTTCGTACCAAACGGAATTAGCTTTGATGTTTATCAAACGGAATTAGCTTTGGTTCTTACCAAACAGAATTAGCTTTGATGTTCATCAAACGGAATTAGCTTTGGTCCTCACCAAACAGAATTAACTTTGATGTTTATCAAACGGAATTAACTTTGGTCTTTGCCCAAATGGACTTAGTTTCAGAACGACTGGACGGAATATAAATTTGGTTAGCACTCAAACATGCTAAGTGGTATTGCTTGGTGGAATAATGTTTGGCAACTGAATTGGACTTTAGCCAAGTGGAATTGCTTGGTGGAAACCACACTAACATATCTTAAGTAAACATCTTTGTATCTACAGAACCTCTTAAGTACCAACACGTACACACTTTAGTACTGACTCAAACAAGCAGCATTGGAACAAGCATGACCAGGTTCTATCAGGAGTAAACTTCCAGCATTAGTCTTCCTCAACTCCAGGTGGGGGCAAACAATTGTTTCTCAAAACCAACCTAGACCTGAGTAAGACACCTCTTCATGCCTTTATCGTATTCAAATGCCCTTATGCTATCAAAGTTGCAACAGACTTAAACAGCTCTACCTAAAGAGCACAGTCTTCAGTGCCGATCTTACTTAGCTCCAGGTGGGGGCAAGCAATTGTTTTTCAAAACCAACCTGGATCTAAGTAAGACCCACTTACGAACTCAAGCACGGCCATACCACATATCCGTTAGCCACACCAAGCATTAGTTCGGCCCCGAGGTCCCAACAGTGCTCGGCTGGGGGCAAACGGTACAATGCCGCACCGAGCATCAGTTCGGCCCCGAGGCCCCAACAATGCTCGGCCGAGGGCAAGCAGTACAAAATCAAATAAAGCATCTATTTAAAAGCAGTACAGAGCCAGACCGAGCTCTATTCGGCCCTGAGGTCCCAATAGTACTCGGCCGGGGGCAGGCAGTATAGAAAACATTCAGACATAAAAGCTAAACAACATTAGATTGCAAATTCAAAGAGAAAATTCTACCATCCAAAGGCACAGATGGCCTCATAACCAGCAGCAAAGAAAAGAAAAATTGTCTTGGCAAGTGCAGAAAGAAAGCTCGTCATGGGGACCGAGCCACAATACATCAAAATAGAAAAGCAAAAAAGTTTCAATCCTTTCAACATCAATTTTCATCAACAGTAGGCAACTCAAGAGCAGCATCAGCAATTTTGTCGGGGCCGCCTGCGGGAGGAAAAGTAGAGGAAGCTCCAACTTCCTGAGAAGTAGAAGCCTCCCTAACCACATCTCCTGTAGCTTCAGTCTCTGGGGTTTCAATCCCTTCAACATCCACCGTTTCAGCGGCAACATTCCTGTCCTGGGTCTTTCTTGTAGAATCATCTTCTAGAGAAACTTCAGTTGGAAGAACAGCAGGGGTGGAAACAGTCTTCGAATCCAAGGATCTCGAAGGAACGGGGATATCCTGAAATAGGGAAGAGCCTTCAGGAACCAGCGCAGCAGTCAAGGCACTCGTCCAACCCTTCATGAAGAGCTTATCTCGCAGCACTAGCACCTCTTCCTTATAGGCAGCCCCAGCTTCATCCCAGCCCTGCTGCCAGTGTTTGGCTTCCAGCACAGAACACTCGGCAGCTAGTACGGCAATAACGGCCTCCAGTTCGGCCACTTTTCCCTCGAGTTAAGCCTATGTCCCAATAGCAACCTCCTTCGATCTTTTAACCGAAGGGACAATCTTGTTCAAATGAAATGCTTCCCTCTCCGCAGTTCGGCACCCCTCCATGCAGTTCGGTGCCCCTCCTTCTCTATCTCCAAGCTTACCATCAGTCTTTCAGCGTTCATTGCGACCTCCAGCACGGCCCTTTCTAGCTCTTTAGCACGAGTAATGGACAGATGCATTCTCTGGATACATTGCGAAGGACAACGAAGAATTAAGAGAAAAGGAGACAGCAACGCAACAGTAAAGACAAGTAAAACAGGAAACACTTACAGCGGTCATCATCTGAAGGGTCCCCTTCAGGATAGGAATATCACGGGGCCCATTATGGTCGGCCATATCAACCGGCATCAACAAAAACTTAGTCAAATCAAAGGCAAAATCTTGTGAAGCAACAACTGAATCAGAAGTGGAAATGGGCCTACCCTTATGCGATATTGGCGGCTCCCATTTCTCAAAAGCATCATCCTCGGCAGGATCCTTAGAAGCTTCCTCCACCACTGTTTTGCCAGCCTCCCTCCCTTTCTTTTTCGCTCGAGCAGCTACTGAAGCTGAGGGCTCGGCAGCAGTCGCAGGGGTTCCAGAAGCTCCAACCTCCATCTTCACCTCCATGAGACTCTTCACCTCGGTCTTTTCTAGAGGGGTTTGCAAGGCATCGGAGGCTCCGAAGGCCTCGGCCTCTAAATCCACCAACACCCTTCTCTTCGCCACAGACCCGTTCCCTGCGAAACTAGGGGCAGAGGAGGGCGCTCTTTCAGAAAGTGCACCTTGACTCTTGCGACGGTTCGTGACTAAAGGAGTGAGAGACGTGTCGGTCTCAGTATCAGAGTCCAGAAGGGTAGCAGCGAGTCTCGCCTTCTTTGGAATAGTAGAACGATAAGTAGACTGGTATTCCAATAACTTGGGTGCAGATCTCTTTTTATACCTCAGGGCAGCTTTTATGGCCTCAGCATTCTCTCGGTTCGGCCTTCGTTGGAAACGAGAGGTCTCTGCAAAAAAAAGAAGTGACCCGTTAGAGCAATATCCGAAATAGAGTAAGAAATACAAAAGTCATCAGAAGGAGAGGCCCGAACCTGGGTAGCCGTCTTTTTGGGGCATCCTCTCAGACTGAAACTCAGTTCCGGCAGGGAACTCCCAATTTCCACCAACTTGTAAGAAATCGTCGTTGTGTTTATCCGAATCAGGCAGCCCAGTAACCAAATGGCAATCAAATGAGTGAACACGCAAGTAATATGTGTTGTGGTCTTTGTTATGAGAAAGAGTATAACAACCTAAGATATCCCATATGTCAAGGCTCAAACCCAATCGTCTATTAAGGGCAGAGACACCGCAAACGACACGAAAAAGGTTCACAGATACTTGCATTGGGGTTAACTGGACTTGATGCAGAAACCGGCGTACCAACGGGTCAAGAGGAAATCGAACCCCTCCCTCGACTATGGCCGCAATAGGAAAAGCAACGATATTCCTCGTGCCCATACGCTTGGCATCTACTTTCGCTAACGAAAGGGTAACGTCGTTGGGAATATTATAGTCCAGGCAGAACATAGCCATGGCCTCGAGGGTATAAACCAGAGAACGGAACTTCCCTATTTAACAAACCTAACGGGACAGAGAAGGGACTCAAATAACAGAGTATGAAACACAGACAGCGAGTAGGCCAAACAAAATGATTAAGACAAAAAAAGGCAAGAGAAGAAGAGTAACAAGAGGACTTACAGAGATTAGAATAGTGGTAGCAGAGCAAGATCAGCGACGAAAGAAAAAATCTGAGCAGGGCACCAACGAGACTGGTTCAGAGGAACGGCAAGAGACCTTTCTCTCTCTTTGAAACTCTCTAGAGGAACGAAAAAGCAGATGAAGGGATTTGTATTGACAGCCAGAACATTAATTGCACTAGCCGGCGCGCAAGTACACGGAGCACGACCTTCAGTATGGGATCGACGCACTATCTCTGCACACCAATCACATATCGCAACGTGTCACTATGAAAGGACGCATGCAGGAATTGTGTGTCAGGATTGAACCGTCACCAAGGCTGAACTGGGGAAAACTGAAACGACGCGACGCTTGGGAGGCAGAGCAATAGCTCCCTCTAAGGGGAACCTTAGCGCGAGCTAGGTGGCAAATGAAGGGGCTAAATGTGAAATGGGTCGGGTCCAAGCCTTGGGCCGGCCCAATCCACTGAAGTCCAAATCCAAGTGGGTTGGATGAGTATATGGGAAAACCAATTGAGCCCAACTTCATGATCAACAGTCCACCCAAGTCCTCAAGCACTTGGGCCCAACCCGTAGTAGAAAGGCTAGTCCAGCCGTGGTGCTGGGCTGGGCCGAGCTGCGAGACTGAATCTATGGGCCGAACAGATGATAGGCTGAGCCCATACAAAGATACCTGAATGGGCCAGTCCATCTCCATAAGTGATCCTGTAAAAGGCCGAGACAAGGCATAATGATGCCGAGCTGAGGAACATCAGTACCGAGCTGTGCACGTGCAAGTTGCCACCTCAGCTGGTCCCCTACACCTAGAATCATGGAAGTTGTTGAACCAAAGGAATGTGGTTTGTTATCAGCATGACTACAATGAGTATATGCATTCAATGGCAACTACCAGGTGGTCCCCCACCATGGGCAATGCTAAAAGGACACCCGGCAGCATCCAAGCTCCATGAACTCACCTTAAGAAGCAAGCAAGGAACACTATATGTACAACATGAACTTCACATTGAAGGTAACTGAACAATTCCAAGTACAACTATAAGCTCAACTCGATATACATTCTCTCTCGGATCATTAATTCCCACACCGGAGGGGTTATCAGGCCAACCCCGGCCGGGCAGCTCTAACGGTGCTTCTTGTGGCAGGAATCTCAGTCCCTGGATAGTCCAACCGAGTGCGGAGCCCCGATCCACTTTCATCTAGTGCGGAATTCGGTATGCACAATGGGAAACTGAGAAATCAACCAAAGATCAATCAAGAAGAACACTAGCATGAAGCTCCAAACACATTAAGTTTGGTTGTTCTTATTCTACTTTTTTTCAGTTGTCTTGGTTGATGATCATAATGAAACATCTATTTTACTATTCATAAAAACAAGCCTGATTGATCCATTGAATTAGCTTCAAAATTGGAAAGTTCCCAACAATGGGTTGTTGGGAAACACTTCACCCTACTGTAATTGGACTGGTGTGTGGTGCAACTCTAATGGAGCTGTTGAGAAGCTTGACCTCTTTCACATGAATCTCAGTGGCACCGTATCAAATGAAATCCAACAATTACAGAGTCTCACTTCTCTCAACCTCTACTCAATGGGTTCTCATCCCCATTGCCAAAATCTCTCTCTAATCTCACTTCAATTCAAACCATTGATCTCAACCAAAACTGCATTTTTTATTCCTTTCCAATCGGCATTGGCAAAGCTGTGAGATTGACAGCACTCAATGCTTCAAGCAACAATCCCTATTGGGTTTGGCAAACTTTGGAGGCTTCAAAGGCTTGATTTGGCAAACAACAGTCTAACTGGCCAAATTCCAATTGACATTGCTGCTTCTACTTCACTTTTGGAAGGAAATCATTATTGGAAGCAACAAAAAATGAAAAATATTTAATGGAGGGAAAACGAAATGGGAAATAGAAGGGGAGGGAAAAAAAAATTCACAACCGGTCATCCCACCAAACGTCCCCTTTGTTTTGATGCACGCTACAGTGCAACAGTTGGAACTGCTCGTATCAGATTGAGGAAATTGCCTTTTTTTTAATCAAATTTGGTGAAAAATTTGCTAAATTGTTAGAGATGCTCTTAATAGTGAAAAGTATAACAAAAATCCTACAAATTAGTTAATAATTAAGCAACAGTATCACTTCTCTGTCCTCCTACTGCTAGCCTATTCTTTTAAGCAATATGCTCCACTGCTCCTGTCTCTTCACATTCCTAGAAAAACAAATTCAAGTATTTTAATACCGTTTCAGAAAATCATAAAAAATTCATGAAATGAAAAAATCACCCCTTACAGAATACAACACCATCTCAAAAAGGATTGGATTTCACTAGTTGGTAGAGACATTGAAAATAATTAAACTCAACAATCTAAATTAAACAGCTTTAGCCTCGGAGGTTATATCATGGGACTACAGTGGGTATAGAGCATTGAAGATTGTATCTTGGCACTACAGTGGGTAGGTATGATCATGTGTACTCACAAAGGTCTGGTGCGGTCTTACGGTGTCACCTTGGCTCAACCAAGCAAAGCCCCAATGGTCAAGGTGCAAGTCCCCCAAAAGGATGGGAGCTCTAGCCTCCAAGCCACAACTCATCTCTAAAAATCCTTACCTTAAGCCATGGGTTCGCACTCCATGACCAACCCCGAGGGGATTCCTAGGCCTTGCTACTGAGCTAGGCAGGCCTGCTTGCATCAATATCCTTTCAGAGACAGCACAAGCAGAGAATCCTTCAAGAATGACAACTCTCTAGTTTCTAGCAACATTGAGAATTTTTAAACAACAATAAAAAAAGGAGTTTCACAAAGTGTGGATTTCAAACACAGTTTCTATAACATGAAGGCTTCAATGACGGTGTGAGCAAGTTTGAGAACTCTGCTCACCACCCCCATTGCCTCGTGCTTCTAATATATAACTTTTACTACAACAAACAAGTCCTGTTATCAAAGTCTTATGATTCACGATTCAATTCGCAATTTTTGCAAAATCGATACAAATCTATGGGCAAATCTATTTTGGAAATGAATCTCTAGTGAATCACACGATTCACAATCGATTCATGATTCAATTCACTTTTTACGATTCATGCAATTCTTGAAACTATTGTATCTGGCATATTTTCAACTCTTTTTTTCTCTTTCTTTTGGTAAAAATGACATAATGCAACTTCCAATAGCGTTTAATGCCAAAATAATCAATATATATGATATTATTTTAGTGATCATTCAGTTTTTAATAAGATCCAATCAAATTTAGTCAGACTCAATATGGTTTTAACCTTTCTCCTCATTTTTTCCTTTTAAAAAATCATAATATATCTTCTAAAGATATTTAAAATTAAAGTAACTTACACCATGAATTATCTCTTGCTATTTTATTAAATTAAATATAGTTTAATATTACATGAGTGAAGCTAGTTATACCTTTTAAAATGCTTTATGCTTTAAAATAAAAGATCCTAAATAATTATTTTTTATTATTTGGTCATTTTTACATGAAAAAGTATATATGCTTATTGTTCAAATATCAATATCGTTGTCAAATTATTGTTACTTTGAAAATTGAGAGTTTGTCATTGTTTACTGTCTTTTATTAAAAATGGTTGATAAAAAATATTAAAAACGGGAAAAGGTAAGATGGTGATCTCATATAGGAGCCTTTGTTAACTTATTACCTATTAAACTACATGATCATTGTGGGGATATATTTTTGAGTACCAACACGTGGCAAGGTGACACCGACGTGTCGGCCGAGGTGCCACGTGTCCTGGTTGATATGCCGAGGTCATCTTGGTTAGGCCGAGGTTATCTCCAAAGATATCGGAATCCGAGATAAGCGGATAAGAGATGAGGGACAAGAGTCTTAGAATAAAAAAGAGACTTAGCCAAGATAAGGATAAAGCTCTTAGAGAGTTTATCTTTATCTCTTGAGGAGTCCAAAGTAAGTACTGAACAGAAATCCATAGAAGTCAGGCTTCTATTGCGATTAGGATTGAGGTAACTATAAAAGAGAGGCATCTCCATGAGTCTAAGGTACGCAATTTATATTTTGTCTAGTGAGTTAAGCACTATTGATTATCTTTTGAGAGATACACTGACTTGATCGTCGGAGTGCCCCCTGGTGGACGAACCACCGCTGGAATCTTCTCTTTCTGTTACAGGTTAGCAGGTGTCATCTATTCTGCCAGTGTTCTCCAGCTGAATACTGAGTTGGGCAGTGTGATCGGAAAATCACTCACACAATCATCATTCAAAACAACATTTTCATTGATCTAAGTCTAAATATTTCATATTCATAAAATATATTTAACATTAAAGTGTGTAGATATATTTTTCTAAGTAATTTAGAAAAAGTGACCGAATCTTTACGATTCACGATTCGATTTGTGATTCGGTATGAGGCCATTTCGATTCACGATTCGAATTCCGATTTGACAACTATGCAAACAAGACAAAGGTGTGGAAATTTAAGTGAACAAAGAAATTTGCTCCCAGAAATCCCGCATTTACTAATTGTGTTTGTGCAGTGTTGCATTTTAATCGTTCATTAAAGCCAAAACAACACCTATCAAAATAAAAATGTGCAAGGGGTAAAGACCGAGATATTTGCAGCAAGTTTTTCACTAATCACAATGGAACTAAGACATTATACAAATCTATAACATGGGCATCCTTGTAGAATACTGGTGGTCATTGTAGAACAAAGTACTAGTCTCACCTGCATCGTAACATGTTGCCTCTTGCAATCAAAGAACTAAAGGCCAAATTTATTAAGATGAGAACATCTCAAGGAACATTCTCGCCTATTCCTTGAACATCCATGCAAAATACAGTCCTTTAAGAGGACCAATTCATAGTTCAACAATTTGGACTACAAAACCAGGAACTTCAAAACAAATATGTATTTGAGAAGTCTCATGCATAAGAGGTCATTCTATGATTATATTATTTGATGATGATAAACTTGGATGAAGCACCAAAAGCAAAGAACATAAAACAACAAACTATTAGAAACTATGCACGCAACAATCCAATGTCAAGTATGACAGACCATCATAAAATCCCTGAAAGTTTTTTTTAACCATAATCACTATTTTCTCATGATAGGGTTCTCAATAACAAGAGTATTTCTTGCAGTAAGTGCAATAAGTTGTACCAGACAGTAATTGTTTCAACATATTGAAGCCCTGCTAGGTGCACTACATACACAGAGTATATTATTACAAAAATAGCAATCAAATTAAACTGCACCTATCCCAAAAAATATCCTCCCTCAAGATAAAAGCCTCATATCATGAAAGAAGGCCCATCTGAAGGAATGAAGATTTCCAGAGTAACTAGTGTATCATCTGCAGTTTTTTCTGAACTGCAGCTTATGCCATTACTTAAATTTGAAAAAATTGTCAGCTTATTTTCATCACAGAATTTCCTTATGGAGGGTATGATCACTTTGATTACTTCTTTTTAGATTTAACTCTAGAACTCAAGTATGATATAGAGTATCAAATTGTCCAATTGGTCGTAGAAAGAAAAAAGGGGAAAATTCTAACTAGCAAAGGCAACCCACTCTTAAATAACACAGGGTTAATAATAATAATAATAACAATAAACAATTTCTAATATATCAATTCCTATTCATATGAATTGATTCAAGGTGAAATAAGTTCAACCAAATAGCCCCTTGAAAACTACCAACAACTACAAAACCTAACAAATGTAGTAGCAGCGTGTTGCAGGTGGCTTTGATTTTTTTGTTTTCCGTCAACATTCATGTTAGCCCACATGTAAGGAGCATTCAATTTAATAACATTGGTGAAGCTTCGCTATTTTTTAAACAAATTGAATCTATGTTAATCACACATTTTAGGATATTCTGGTCACAATGACAAAATGAAACCTTACATCATAGAACTCACCAACTTAGATATATTGCCTTTTCCTGAAGCAAGTTCTTAGTTGCCACAAAAGTTGCCTCCAACAAAACAGTTTGGCCACGTTTGTCATCCCACATGAATGGTGGGATTGGAGTGATAGTGAGGTGGGACCTCTCAAAGCATGTTTGGTTGAGGAGTTTATGACTGGATTATTTTTCCAGCTTGACTGGTAATCCCATTGCACAGTTGGATTAGCTAAACTGTAGAGGGTATGGGATTCAAATTTTAGTCCAAGGATTGTTGGTGTTATTATTGTTTTGCTCTTCCTCTTCAACAATGTCAAACCATTTCCAACAAGAAATGGCGAAAAAAAAAAAAAAAGGTTGGAGGCATTTATGTAAGGGGCAAGAGACACCCACAGGGGATTGTCTCCCCATTTTAATTTTTTTATTATATATAAATTGTAATTATTCTAACATTTGTTAGTTTGGCGGCATTTATGTAATTTCCTATATTTATCCCATACTTGTTTTGGAAACATGGTTAAAAGCAACTTTTTGACCTTTTTGGGCCACATCTCGTCTCTACTTTTTTACATGTTTTTTCAAAAAAAAAAAAAGAAGGCAAAAAGCTAGTTTTTAACCTACTTCCCAAATACAAACAAACATTCTTTATCCTCTATCGCCAAACAAACATGGCCTTACAACTGTGAAAAAGTATAAACTTCTAGCCTTGTTAACATTTATACTCTGTTTGGTTAGATTTTCAAGATTTATTTTTGATTCTCAACATTTATACTCTGTTTAGACCATTGGTTCAATGGTAAACTTGGCCTAATAACCTTGAGGTTATGGGTTCAAATCACAAGACAACCACTTTGTGCCAAAGGTCAGGTGTGTACCCAATCTTTTCCCTCCGAAACACATATTAATGTGTACTAATTGAACGTTATTTATTATTATTATTATTATTATTATTATTATTATTATTATTATTATTTTAAACATATAAACTAGTTTGATGAAAACAAACACCAAAAAAGAGATTTTCAAAAAATCATATAAAAATTAGTGTTTTTCATTTTTCAACATATTAACATATTAATTTTTATTTTTTTTAAAAAATTCAATAAACAAATTTTAAAAACAAAACCAAAGAGCATTACTTTTTTGTGTTTCTACTATTATTTTTTTGTAACAAGGGTGTTTGGGGCTTTGTCCTAACTAGTCCCTAAGGCACATGTAATCCTCCCATACCACAAGTACTAGAGGTTGTTTTGGAAATAGGCTATTTTAGTAACTTTTTAACTTTTTGGCTAAAATATGAGGTGAAAAAACTTAATATGTTTACGATGAATTTTTGACTTCTTAAGAAAAAACGTGTAAAAAATTGAGAGGAAAGGGAATCTTCGACTTTTTTGTATAGTTCTTTCGCTTTTTGACTTTTTGGCTATTATCCAAACTTGCCCTAGGTTTATAAATAAGAGAGTTCTTCGTAAGGGTATTGTAGTTGATTGTCTCTCCCTCTTTTTGTCTCTCGAGAATACTTGTGAGTTCAAGAGTGCTTGTGTTCAAGATTTGCTCCATGTGGAAACTTTTGGAGGTCAAGTGATCGAATGACTTTTGCATTAGAGTGAACTCAAAAATCTAGCGTTGAATTGGATTTACTGTTTGAGGTAGTCATGTTTGTATACATTTACATACATGAACGTACATATTAGGAATTGGAGGAAATATTTTACATTCCAGATCTTGATCTCCACCCGCCATATCCACCTGAGAAAGTAAGCATGCCCTATCCAATGGGTACACTACATACAAATTTGTTGAATTTAGCTTGTTTCATTGATTTACATGGTGTTCATGGCTCCGATCACAACCTCCAATTGATAGAGTACTCCAAATCCCTTAGTGACAAAGCTTACGGTTGATATACCAACCTTCTCCAGGAAGCTCAACTCATAGCAGGACTTAGTCAAGAAATCGTATGCCTAAGTTTTTTTATGTTAAAGACAGGTTCACTACTCTCCACCTCATTCATTAAACCATGAAAGTGGAGAAGCACTTCTTACATTTGTTCGTCATTTTTGGGAAAAGCTATGGATGTTCAAGATCATATTCCATAAGATCAAATGGTGAAGGCTGTGTGTAGATTTTGCTCCGCACAAAGCTCACTTGGTTAACCTTCACTTTCTTGATTTCTCCGGTCTGTGTGGCCACCCGTAACTTGAGCGAGAAAGTTAAAGCAGCCAATTGTCTATAAGCCCCGAAACCTGTGCCCACAATTTGGCTCAGGGCGGCCACCCACACATAGTGATGATCATACCTACACTGTTGATGGCCCCTCCATCCGAGCCAATAGGGACTAAGTAATTTGGGTTGCACCCAAAATGCCAACCAAAGAAATGTATTTTGGACAATTTTATAACCATTCTTATCATTTAATTAATAAACGACAAGCATATTTTTTGATCAACAATAAAATGACAAGTGTATTCATCATCAGATTTACTTGTGTCTTATTGTTTGCATGATAAATCCATAGAATTAATGTTGGAAATAAATGTTCTTGAGAATTAAGAATGTGAAACATATACTTGGTACTTTATTATTCTTAAAGGCTCCTCCAAGTCACAAGATTACTGAGCGTAGTAATTCAAATAAGCTAGCACATGTTATGCTTGCTCAATTACGAGTGTGGCTAGTCTCAAAATTAATGTAGACACACTAAAGCAAACATGTAAATGCTTTGTTAGAAAACAAGTTCATTGAATGTGACTAATCATGGAAAGTTGTGAACTTTCCATATAGAACCATTTAGTCAAAGGAAGCAAGGACAAAAGGCTACGTGTAAATGCTCAAAGGCATATGATAAACATGCATGCTATTTTCTGAATGTGAAATGAAGTTCGGAAACATGCAAATATTTATTACTTACTGGAACAAAGAAGGGATGCTGTAAGTTGACAGGCAGGTAGGGAACAAATGGGCTTCTCCATTTTGTCAAATGCTACAAAGTTGCAACTAACTCTCACGATCAGGATAAATGCCATGTAACAACTACAAAGAGAACCGTTATCTATTGTTTATTCATAAAGAATCTAATAACCAGAAAACCACAAATAGTAGGTGAAAAAATCCCAAAGACATTAAACATTTAGAATAAAAAAACTGAAGCACAAGTACATAACTGATACAGAAATTTGCTCGAGTTATATTCATTTGGTATGAAGTGGTTACAATTACTAAAAGAACTAAATCATTGAAAGTAACTTAGCCTCTCTTTCTTGATCAATTCTCTTGCAGCGACAATCAATTCCCTGTGACAAAATTTTTCAACGAGTTAAATTACCAGCAATTCTACTTGTGTAAATGGAATGGAAAAAAAACAAAAAAAACTTGCTTTGTACTAAACACACCAATAATATGTGAAGGTATCAATCTAATTACATAGTCATTAAGTTTGAATGCTACATAAAAAAACATAAGCCAAATGACGAAAAGGAACAAAAAGACCTACCTTTAGTCTCTCTCTCTCTCTCTCTCTATATATATATATATATATACACGTGTGTGCGTGCATATATACATATATTTATGTATATTTAAAACATGTACACATGAGGTAAACATAGCGACAAAGGAGGCAAGAGTACACTATTTGATCAAAATTGGTAATATTAGCTCAACCATGCAATAAAATTGCAAACTCAATAATTTTTTCACTTAACTAACAAGAAAACTGACAAGTAAGAAAACAATAGCACTATCCAAGCCATGAAGCACTCTACATCACCAAACAATAGCACTATCCTCCAAATTCAGGAATGTTTGAACTGTATCCAAATGACAAATGTGTCATATTTGATGTTCTATACAAATATTTGGCCATATGACTAGATTCTAACCTGAGGCATTTACAAGGATGTTGCTAATATCACCTATTGAAGGAAAGTTAGCATTTCACATATACATACGAAGGCAAATACATATACATATATTTATGCTGAAATATCTCTCCACTTAATTTATACATTAAGAAACATATGACTCCCCTAACAAACTAAGCGAGAGAGAAAGAGAGAGGGAGATCCACCAGGTGATTGTGCTCTTTGATATTAAACTCATTGAAGGTTCCAATTTACTAAGCGACAAGCCAAACCAAGAAAAACTAACGAAGATTAAGGTGCTTGTAACTTTGGTATAGCAAGTCGGAAATCATTAGAAAATGAAAATGTTAGAATTCATTTGGAGTGCCATAAATCCACATTGATAGCATGATTTGCATATTCGTCAAGTGGAATCCACAAATTTACCATGGCTCCAAGCCCTATTTGCAAATTGAGAATTGAGAGCAGGGGAGCAGGACCAACCAAACAAACTTTGGGCCCTTGGCTGCACACAAATGCATTTACCTTAAAGCTACAGGTACTTTTTCCAGCTCCATTATTCATATAATTGTAATGATTCCAAATTTTTGCCTTAGGAAATGTCAGTTGTGAGGTGGAAAGTCAGTTCTAAATGTTAAAACTGAAGTTTAATTTATAAGCAATGAAGTGAGGAGCAGGATTAGTTTAAACCCACCAAAGACAAACCCAAGATACCACCCTCAGGGACGCTTCTCATCCCCATCCCAAAAGGGTTTGATAGAGAGGTTACCAGTTACCTGATTCTTGAATCAAATTATCATGTCTCCCTATGAAATGGTTACCCCACTGTGTATGAACAGTTGACAGATATATTATGCACACAAAAAAATAATTGATATGCAAGAAAGAACGAGTCTGGAAAACAATTCATAGCAAATAACATTTTCAGTTTTATTCAATACTGATGTTGACCATGGTTTTGATAATGATATAGGCACTTTACCAAAATGGGCATAAGTTAAAAAAGATTATAAATTAAATGTATAAATTTATTTATTTTTGGTTAAAAAAACTGCCAATATATAGAAAAAATACATATATTTACTTCCTGAAAAAATATCATAAAGTGCACAGCTCATAAGAAAATATATAGAACCGTCTACTTTACAAGGCAAAAAGTCTATTTCCCATCACCTAGCACAAATAGAAAAACATATTCAAACTAGCCACATCGTTATTACTCAAACCCGATTAGACACAAGAGTGAGACTTGAGAAACAATTAAAAAGAAAAGGGATCCAAATACCTTCTTTCTTTGGATGGCTGCATTCCATGTATCTCATAAAACCTGTTTTCAAGAGAGTTTTCATTATTTATTAAAAAAAAAAAAAAAACACAACAACAACAACTATCATTATTTGCATTTGTCAAATTTATATCAAGAACAAATAACGAGCAACCTTTGAGCCAAAAGATCATGATAATGCAAGACAAGCCCAAGTGAACTTTAGATTATGTAAATTGTTATTAAGATCCTAGTTTTTATTTAGTGTGTTCTGCTTGTCATGCGTTTTTTAATTTAAGCCACATTTATAGTCATCAATAAATGATATTAGAGTCTTATTATTCATTGTTGACAAGAAGTCATAGAAGCAGCCTTGTTATTCTATTCTAGCAAGTTATTTATAATAATAATAAAAAAAAATCTCTTAGGGTCTCATCAAGCCTCGGCAGCATTATCTTTTCTTTTCTTTTCTTTTTTCTTTTTTTTCTCTTCAATCTATTGTGTGTACCAAACAAGCCATCATGTGTTTTGGTCACTTTCTTCACTCTACCAAAGCCCAATTACCAGTATCTCAAATCTTTTAAGTGCTCGACTTTTTATCCTCTAGTTCATTAATTCTACTAGATCAATGAGCATTGAATGATAAATAGCAATTACTAACATAAAAGACTAATAATAATCCAAGTAGAAATTGATTGAAAAGAAAAAAAGTTGAAACAACAAAAACAGTGGACAAACAAAAAAATGGGCAAGAGAGCACAAGTGAATATACCAATCGCAAAACAGACACCCAATACAACCTCTAACTCCCAATGAGACTATCTTCCTAGCTGCCATACAATTGTAATGAAGAATATTAACGAAAAACTCGTGCTATTTTGGATCAGGGATTTGTAGAGGAAAAATAAAGTGAAAAAAAAATAATAATAATTTTAGCATCTTTTTACTTTATATTTTCTCTTTTCTTCTCCTTTCTCTTTACAAATTAATGAAAAATGTTACAATCAAATGAAAGCCATAGATCACAACGTAAAAACATATGAAAAAAAGTACCTCCATCGTTGATATCATCAGTTCTGCGAACAAACACCACATGGAAAAATTCGATTTAATGTCAGAAAACAAGTTTCAAACAAAACTAATCTGAATATATAATCAATGTCGCCGGTTAACCAGATGAGAAGAAAACCCTAGTGAATTTGAATGAAATTTACTTCTCAGATTTCATCCAAACGATCATTTAAAAAACATTTATCAGCAATCAAATCATGCTTCAGCGCATCAGCAGAACAAAAACGATAAAAATAAACGAATAAAAGATGAATTATACCTCTGACGAAGCAATGTCGTGAACCTCCTCCAAGCCATTGCTTTTTGCTTTGCACTTGCCACAGAAACTGATGAATACCCAAAAAAAAAAAATTATTCAGTGCCTTTGTTTTGAGGTTTTTAGATTAAATTTTTTTAAAATTGATTTTTTTTTGCTTTTCGTGGTTTTTAAAAATATATTTTTTTATTTTTTTCGAAGTACCTTACTTAAATTTATTTAAAAAATATGAAAAAATATTTTTAAAAATTAATAATACATAAAATATAAAAAGATGTACTGAATTCTAGTTTTTTTTTTTTTTTTTGTAGTTTTGGCATTAAGTGAATTTTTAAAAGATTTTTTTACAAATGTTTTACTTTTTAGGTATATTTATGTTAGGTATGTATAAAAAGTAAAAAAAAAATGCTTAAAATATTAAAAAATTCAATAAAAACAAAAACAAAAAAACAAAAAACAAAAAACAAGAAAGTTGAATTTTCTAAAAAGTGTTTTTGAAAAAATGGAACCAAGTAAATTGATTTTTTCCCAGCCTATTGGAAAACGAGTACATCCTTTCAATTTTGAAAAAATTACAATTTGAACACTTTTCAAAAAAAAAAAAATTATTTTTTATGAATTTTTTTAATATTTTAAATAATTTTTAAAAATCTTTAAATACTCCTAAAATAAATACACTTAAAAAGTATAATATTTATGAAAAAAAATTAAAAAATTTACTAAATATCAAAAATATAAAAAATATAAAAATTCAACACATTTTTTTATATTTTTGTCTATTTATTAATTTTTTTAAATATTTTTTCACAAATATTTTATTATTTAGATACATCTAAATGAGGTACATTTTAAAGGGAAAATTAGTCTAAGGTCCTTCTTCCATTTTTAGTAATGGAAAAGGTCCACACTATTATTTTTTGATGTCTAAGATCCCTAGACCCACACCCATATATCATATTAGAGAAATTTGACTTTGCACTTCTTCTTCGATACCCAACTCTCAGAATCATCAACCCTAGAATTAGACCCAAAAAACCCTCCTCTCTCTCCTTGGCGGTTCGCTCGCGTGGACTGGTAGGAAGCAACATTAGATCTACGTTGGTGAGGCATTTGGCAGGGGTAGGGTTGTTGAGCTCGAAGAGAGGGATTTTTTGGGGCTTCTTCTTCTTCGTCTTCGCCGCCGCAAGAGAAAGGAAGTCCGCCGTCCGCTCCACCTGCGTCACTGTCATCGCCACTGCCTGTTTCTCCTCTCACGTCCCGAAACCTCCATTTACTTCAACCATCAAGCCTTGGTTGAATCTCTAGCCACTGAATGTCTTTCTTCTCTGAGAGATTGATGGATCCATGGGTTGATGGTCAGGTGTTGGTGGAATGTGCACTGTGTAGTCCATGTATTCACTATTGTCAATTTCGCTATCGAGATCATTCGACTCCCTCCAATAGTTGACAGATCGGCCTGAGGAAGTTCTCCGCACAAAGGTCATAGTCATATGACTTGACTTTTCCTGATGTGATTCTGAAGCTTTGGGGATGATCTTGAAGCCATGCTATTGAAATGAGCAAAGAAAGACAATATGTCACTAGTTCTTGAAATTATATATTGTAAAGGAAAAAACAGAGAAGCACGTCAGCAAAGATTATTCAGTCACAAAATTCTCACAGTTCAAACTAATTCAAATTCTCTGGAAATTCAGATAAAATCTCTCTAGAAAAATTCTCTAGAATCTCTCTCTCCCTCTCTAATAGCTTTTGTTGTTTGAGCTGCGTATTTATGTCGGCTATTGGTAGTGTGAAATGTATGAATTTGAGCAATTTATTTGCAGTAACTTTCTCTGGGTTTCAGTCTCTGGTCCAGAATTTCTCTAGTCCAAAATTTTCATTGGTGAGCACTTTACTTTGGTTGCGTACTATTAGTATATATATTACATTTCTCATTCTTTCTCTTATATTCAACTGATAAAGGATTTGATTGGTAAAATGATTTGAATTTTTTTTTTGGTTTCAATTTTCTCTGGTACAAGATTTTGAATTTTCTCTGGTAAAGAATTTGAATTTTCTCTGGTTTCACAGAGAAAGGATCCTATAGAAACAAACAATTTTGTTCAGAGAAGTTTCACTTTTCTCTAGAGAGAAGGGGAATTTCTCTGGGGATAAGGGAAGGCCAGAGAAATTCTCTGGAGAGTGGATCAGAGAAATTTGAAAGTCCAGAGAAATTTGAAAGTCCAGAGAAATTTTGTTTCTTGGTTGTACTCAGTGCAATAACTTTGTGCATGATCTGTCTAGTGTGCACATTTCTCTTTGCATCAGTACTGGTGGTGGCAGTGTTGTTTTACCCTCCCTTTTTTTTTAAAAAGTTAAAAACCATAACTGTTAGTTCTTTACATAATCTGTAAATTTCTCTGAAAAGAAACAGAGAATTTCTCTGGGTTGGAGAGAATTTCTCTGGATAGATTTTCTCTGGTCCAGAATTTCTCTTGTAAGTCTAGAGAAATTCTCTGGATGAAATTGAGGGACCTTAGACATTATGAAATTATTAGATGCCATTTATACTATAAAACCTTAATACCAGGGGTCTTAAAAAAAAAAAAAAAAAAACCTCATTTTAAAAAGTAAAAAATGTACTGAAAATTTTAAAAACATTCATTAAAAACAAAAAAAAAATACCAAAAATAAAAAAAACTCAATTTCCAAAAAACTAAATTCAGAAAACTGAAATTAAACACACTGAATAATTCTTATAATTTTAACATAATTGTATAAAAAAAATTAATAAGACTAAATGGATCAGAATTAGTGAGTAAAAATATAAAGATAGACAATGTAAAATATATATTTAAGCGTAAAATAAATTATAATATCATTTTTATATTTATATAATTAATATATTTTTCTGTAATGCTACATTTATCGAATTTGAACTCGTCCGAATTGTCTGAAATTGTACATATCATTTTTATATTTTTCAAACATTAAAATATAAAAAATAAAAAAACAGAATTTTTTAAAAACTATTTTTTGAAAAACGGAACCAAACTGCCTAAATTTTATTGGAAGACGAGTACCTCCAATTTTGAAAAAAATTCAGTTTTCTCAATTAAGTTTTCTGATATTTGATTTTTTTTTCTATTTTTAGTGAATATTTTTAAAATTTTAAGTAATTTTTTACTTTTTTAGTTGCATCTTACTTAAATGTATCTAAATAGTAAAACATTTATGAAAAAATATTTTTAAAAATTAATAAATACACAAAAATACAAAAAATATATTGAAATTTCGTAATTGTTTTGTATTTTTAGCATTTAGTGAATTTTTTAAAGATTTTTTTACAAATATTATATTTTTTAAATGTATTTATATTAGGTGTGTCTAAAAAAATAAAATATTAAAATATTGAAAAAATATTCATTGAAAACCAAAAAATACGAAAAATAAAAAATATAATTTTTTGAAAAGTATTTTCTAAAAACCAAAACCAAACAAGTTGAACAATTCTTATAATTTTAATGTAGTTGTATAAAAAAAAATTTAATAAGACTAAAAGTGGATCAGAATTAGTGTGTAAAAATATAAAAATAAACAATGTAAAATATATATTTAAGCGCAAAATAAATTATAATATTATTTTTTTTATCTATATAATTAATATATTTTTTAGTAATGTTACATCTATCGAATTTGGATTCGCCCAAATTTTCTAAATTTATGCATATCGATCGTCCGACCAACCATCTGGACGGATGTGGTTGATACACCGATTGATAAAGGTAACAACCATAGTTGACAAGGGTGACAATAGTCATCTGACCAATCATCTGTCTATATCATCCCGGCGAAATCTGGATTTCCTCTATTTTGGTAGGCCAAATATTTTTCTATATTTGTATGATAAAAGATCATAACGTAATTAAACTTCCCGCCCTAATCCACCTTTGGGTGGGATTCTATGTGAAATTCACTAAGATGCATTTGATAAGCGATTTTAATTCGGTGGATACTAATAAAATAATGATAGTGATCTAATATGGTATTTTAGTGTTCTACCCGTATTATATGCATGGATTGTGTTTGAATATTTTTATACTTAATAAAATAATGATAGTGATCTAATATGGTATTTCAAAGTAGGGTTGCTATTTTTTTTTTTTTTTTCAAAGATAGTAAAGTTAGGATTAACCTTAAAAGTTAAAAAAATGAGTAATAAAATGACATTAAATTAACATATATATTAGTGTTGTACCCGTATTATATGCATGGATTGTGTTTGAATATTTTTTATAACACTTACGTTTTCAGTTTTCTGTTTATATTTATAAAAATTTAAAAAAATTCAAATAAAAACTTGTTTGGTAAATTTTTGATTTATAAATCAGTAATCTCAGTTTATAAATTTGGTCAAAAAATATAAACTCAAAAAATGTGTTTCCGTTTTGAGTTTTGAGTTTTTTTTTTTTTTTCCCACCCAACCCTAGCCACCACCCGCCACCATTTTCCACCATCGTCTTCCGCCACCACCACCACCCACCACCCACCATCACCACTTTCCACCATCGTCTTCCACCGCCACTTGCCACCACTTGTCATTTCTTACTCTTTTTTATATTTTTAAATTTTTTTAAATATTTTTTCAATTACCAAACGCGTTTGTAGTTTATATTTTTTTAAAAATAAACAAAAACCAGTTTATAAAATT